AAAAACACCCTAACGATTGGTTGACAGTAGGTCCTCCCACAACGCAGGCGGCGATGGCTGTAGGATGAAGTTGGTAAAGAGCAAAAAGCAGAAACTTGCAGTCATAACTTAATGACCTTTGATCACATGATTTCTGTAAAGTTCACGCAGTCTACATGTAGGCGCAAGTCGGACAACGTTTTACCCCATAATGCACCAAACTTTTTTAAAGGCGGTGACCATCGGTTTGACAAAAGTGATCCGCTTCAACAAGCCCAATGACTTAGTCATTGCATCTGTCCCATTATGGTATCGGTGAGAGCATGGACAGCACCATAAAGGGCATCTCCATTTTGTAGTCCATTATCTTCTACTTCTACTATGAGTTGGTAAACAAACTGACAGGGTTTATACTGCCACCTAGAGGGTGTTGTTGGAACAGGTATAAAAGCTAAGGTTGGTGATTTACTGCTATCTGCAGTTATGGGAATGATTTTGCTCACGAGTATAATTAAATTGGCTGATCCCTCCAGGTGACCTGGACGGAATTATGTGATCCTTCCTTAACCCATAGGAAGTCCCCACCCTGTTGGCTACGTCAAAATGGTGAAAGTGGTCAATGGCTCTGCCCATGCTAAAACAGGCTTTTTTTGCTCTAGACATTTTACATTTTAGTCATTTAGCAGACGCTCTTATCCAGAGCGACTTACATGAGCAATTAGGGTTAAGTGCCTTGCTTAAGGGCACATCGACAGATTTTTCACCTAGTCGGCTCAGGGATTAGAACCAGCGACCTTTCGGTTACTGGCACAACGCTCTTACCCACTAAGCTACCTGCCGCCCCAGAGTCCTCTATCCTATGGTTGGACAGGATCGTAGGCAGGTGAGACAAATCAGTGTGGCGGGGTTGGATAATATATATAATAGATATATATATATATATATATATATATATATATATATATATAGATAGATATATATATCTTATTTTTCTATTGTAGAGGGAGGCGTGTAGATTTGTCTATCTACCAACTCGGTAAGTGACAGATCCCTTCAGGAGCTTAACGTCTGGTTGAACCCATTTATAAAAACAGCGAACAATTTAACACCATTTATAATAGCACAGATTTTGGAACATCATTACTAGGGAGGCAGGTAGTTTAGTGGTTAAGAGCGTTGTGCCAGTAACCGAAAGGTCGCTGGTTCTAATCCCCGGGCCGACTAGGTGAAAAATCTGTCGATGTGCCCTTGAGCAAGGCACTTAACCCTAATTGCTCCTGTAAGAGCGTCTGCTAAATGACTAAACATTTAAATGTAATGGTGTATGTCGCCACCTACTGGAAGAATACAGTTATGCCACCAACAGATTCCGCTAAGAGAAACCACTCACTTTACAAACATTTTTTAAAATTTCTCTCTCCCTGTACAGGTGAAACACCATCCTCACTAGCGTCCACATCTCTGCGGCCAAAACGACACACCCACAAGCGTTTGTTGTATGGAGCGATTGATAGAGGAGCGGATACAGGAGTAGTCATCAGGAAAATAAAACACTATTACACAACAATAACAGTTTTCTAATACACTAAAAAAAGTTGAGATGACACCAAAACTACCGAGACACGATTTGAATTCACAACCAATAAAATTTATTCAATTATATATTACAAATATGTACACGTCATGTAACAAGTAAATATTAAAAATAGACATATTTTTTAGAACTATCGTTCAAAAAGGCATTATGTTGAAAAAAATAGGTTTTGTTGTAATCTCACATTGAAACTGTAAAAGTATGTTTTTTTTCTTCTCCTATAGAAGTCACGACAAACGTAATTATTTTATGTGACACAGCCACCGGACAACACACACACACGCGGGTTAGAGAGGCTGTACACGGAGTGTTTCAGTGTCCCAAATAGCACCCTATTCCATATATAGTGCACAACTTTTGACCAGGGCCAGCATAGGTTCCTGATCAAAAGTAGTGCACTATATAGGGAATAGGGTGCTACTTCAGATGCAAACTTTGTGGCAAACGAAGAGAACGAATGATGGCGGAAGAACAAAAAAAAAAAGGTGAATGACTTCAGTTAAACCTTCATCACAACACGGTAACAGCTTCTTCTGGGATCAGGAAGTAAAGGCTACAACAACGGCAACGGCATGCACAGCATCCAAATCACAAGTCAAAGAATTAACTTGGTGCGTGGATCCAACTCCATTAGAATGAACACCTGGTTGTGGTGCGTGGATCCAACTCCATTCCAGAGGGGAAACAACAGAACAAAATCAGATCAACACATGCTTAAAGAGCCAATAACATCGACTTTAACAACAACAACAACAACAAGGAACTTGACACAGAGGAAGAGGAAGAGGACACTGACTCAATATAAAAAAAAAAAAACGTTGGTCCATTAAAAACAGACAAAACGAAATAACCTTTTAAAATTAAAATATCTATTACTTATTTTTTTCTGTACAAGTTTAAAACCATCATCACATGGGTTATTTACAAATGCACAATCTGTGTGTAAAAAATAAGTTAAACAAAATAATTAAGAGCACAAGTCTGTACATCACGTATTGACCAAACACCCCCTTAAAAACAGAAGTAGAATTGCATTTGTATTATTATTTTTTGTATCCTGGTGAGGGAGGCGCAGAGGTCAGAGGTCATCTCCACAGGGCACATCACAAATGGTACCCTATTGTCTATACTTCACAAAAGTAGTGCCCTATATAGGGAATAGGGTACCATTCTCTGGTCTAAAGTAGTGCCCTATATAGGGAATAGGGTGTCATTCTCTGGTCTAAAGTAGTGCCCTATATAGGGAATAGGGTGTCATTCTCTGGTCTAAAGTAGTGCCCTATATAGGGAATAGGGTGCTATTTGGGACATACCCTATAGCGTCCATACTCAGTCCCTCCCTGGAGCCCTCTCCTCTCAGCAGACAGCAGCACCCGTCGCTGCCCCAACCCTAACCCAGCCCTGGACTCTGGCACCTGGGGTAAGTGTGTGGTCTGGGCCCCTAAGTCCTGGTGGTGCTCCAGGCCGGTCCAGAATAGAATAAGCTGTCAGTCATTCTGCCACTAGTTTGTAGCTCAGTTGGTAGAGCATGGCGCTTGCAACGCCAGGGTTGTGGGTTCGTTTCCCACAGGGGGCCAGTATGAAAAATGTATGCACTCACTAACTGTAAGTCGCTCTGGATAAGAGCGTCTGCTAAATGACTAAAATGTAAATGTAGGAAAAGTCCTGTTGGTGTAGGAGGAGGTTATTAGTTTTTTCTTGGTTGTCTACCATAAGAGCTCAGTAGTAAAACAGCCACATTTAGAGTGGTGCTCTCACTAACACACCCAAGAGTGGTGCTCTCATCACTAACACACCCAAGAGTGGTGCTCTCATCACTAACACACACCCAAGAGTGGTGCTCTCATCACTAACCACACCCAAGAGTGGTGCTCTCATCACTAACACACACCCAAGAGTGGTGCTCTCATCACTAACACCCACCCAAGAGTGGTGCTCTCATCACTAATACCCACCCAAGAGTGGTGCTCTCATCACTAACACACCCCCAAGAGTGGTGCAATCACTAACACACACCCAAGAGTGGTGCTCTCATCACTAACACACACCCAAGAGTGGTGCTCTCATCACTAACACACACCCAAGAGTGGTGCTCTCATCACTAACACACACCCAAGAGTGGTGCTCTCATCACTAACACACACCCAAGAGTGGTGCTCTCATCACTAACACACACCCAAGAGTGGTGCTCTCATCACTAACACCCACCCAAGAGTGGTGCTCTCATCACTAATACCCACCCAAGAGTGGTGCTCTCATCACTAACACACCCCCAAGAGTGGTGCAATCACTAACACACACCCAAGAGTGGTGCTCTCATCACTAACACACACCCAAGAGTGGTGCTCTCATCACTAACAGCTAACACACACCCAAGAGTGGTGCTCTCATCACTAACACACCCAAGAGTGGTGCTCTCATCACTAACACACCCAAGAGTGGTGCTCTCATCACTAACACACCCAAGAGTGGTGCTCTCATCACTAACACCCCCAAGAGTGGTGCTCTCATCACTAACACCCCCAAGAGTGGTGCTCTCATCACTAACACCCCCAAGAGTGGTGCTCTCACTAACACCCCCAAGAGTGGTGCTCTCATCACTAACACACACCCAAGAGTGGTGCTCTCATCACTAACACACACCCAAGAGTGGTGCTCTCATCACTAACACACACCCAAGAGTGGTGCTCTCATCACTAACACACACCCAAGAGTGGTGCTCTCATCACTAACACACACCCAAGAGTGGTGCTCTCATCACTAACACACACCCAAGAGTGGTGCTCACACTAACACACACCCAAGAGTGGTGCTCACACTAACACACACCCAAGAGTGGTGCTCTCACTAACACCCCCAAGAGTGGTGCTCTCATCACTAACACACACCCAAGAGTGGTGCTCTCATCACTAACACACACCCAAGAGTGGTGCTCTCACTAACACACATCCAAGAGTGGTGCTCTCACTAACACACATCCAAGAGTGGTGCTCTCACTAACACACACCCAAGAGTGGTGCTCTCACTAACACACACCCAAGAGTGGTGCTCTCACTAACACACACCCAAGAGTGGTGCTCTCACTAACACACATCCAAGAGTGGTGCTCTCACTAACACACACCCAAGAGTGGTGCTCTCATCACTAACACACACCCAAGAGTGGTGCTCTCATCACTAACACACACCCAAGAGTGGTGCTCACACTAACACACACCCAAGAGTGGTGCTCTCACTAACACACCCAAGAGTGGTGCTCTCACTAACACCCCCAAGAGTGGTGCTCTCACTAACACACACCCAAGAGTGGTGCTCTCACTAACACACCCATGTTCCGTCAACTTCAGAGCTTCACCTTTCTTTCTTCTCCCCACGTGACCCCTCCATCACTTCATCCCTGTTAGAGGTAGATAGTCAAGGGTCACAGGTCATATGGGCGTGAGGTCAAAGTCGTCGTTGACCTCTACCAGGGGGATGTAGAACTCGGGTATGTCGAAGATGGAGGTGGACTTGTACATGGCTGGATCCAGCTCCTGGAGTTTCAGCTGCCAGTGGAGACGCTGTACAGCATTTAGAGCTGCTGCCTCATGCTGCTGTCGCATCAGCAAACACGTCTGGAGAGAGGGAGGGGGGGAGAGAAGAGGGGGAAGAGAGACGGAGGGGGGGGAGAGAGACGAGAGAGGGAGAAGATGAAGGGTGTTTTCTATGCTGGTCAGATCAGAAACACGAGATCGGATAGAGGGAGGGAAACGGGAGAGGAAGAGGGGAGAAGAGAGGAGACAGAGAGAGGGGGAGAGAGGGTAAGAGGGGGAGGGAGAGAGATAGGGGAAGGATATAGAGAAGAGAAAGTGGGATTGGGCAAGAGAACACTATCTACTAGAAGGTCAGGGGGGGGGTATTTTTTTATTTTTTTTTTTTTTTGGGGATTTTCTTTTTTTTTTTGAGAGAAGAGAGAGAGAGAGAGGAGAATACATATAAGACAGAGAGCGAGGACAGAGAGGACAGAGAGATAGGACCGAGACAGAGAGAGAAGAGACTAACAGAGAGAGATAGAGAGAGACAGAGACAGAGAGAGAGGGAAGAAGAGACGGAGAGAGACAGAAGAGACCGAGACAGAGAGGACAGAGATACACAGATAGAAGAGTGTTTTGGATAGATAGAGACAACAGAAGAGATATACATATAGAGATATAAGATGAGAGTGGTTTTTTTTTTAGGGAGAGAGAGAGAGAGAAACGAGATAAGACAGAGATATGAGACACCCTAAAACCAATTCAGACAATTTTGACACCGTTGAGATGCTTGTTTTGCAAAATGAATACATTTCAAAATGAGAAGTCCTATCGGAAAATACAGCTGAAGCTACCTGAAAACCATATGTTAGCTACTTACTGTAGCATCCTGAATGGATGAACAAAACATTACACCATAGATTACTTTGGGTATATGATCCAACACTAGTTTTACTGCTGCAAGCAGGGCCACATTTAACAGAGACCAAGCGTACCTTGAGTTTATCAAACTTGTCGTCCACATCTTGCAACCAGGACATAAACTGCCGGGCGTTGAAACGATCCCTCACCGACGTCTTGCCATCTTGGTCACCCTGGAAACACAACAAACACAACATTGATAATACAATGTTACCCACAACTGGCAGCGTTAGAGTTACAACTCTGTTAAAACCATTATGGTTTAAAAACCATCCGTTGTAAAAGCACTTTGTGTCAACTAACTGTAAATCACTGAGTGTCTGCTTAATGACTAGAATGTTTAATGCAACTTCTGTTTACAAAGGGATTTATAAATACATTTGATTAGTTGATTGATGCCAACCTACATTATTTTAGTTTAAATAAATGTGATCTATTGATTAATTGATTAGTCGATACCAACTTACGGATTCTACAGTGCGTGACATCATGCCACTTGCCTGGGCATCCTGAGGCATGTTGTACACCTCGGCGTCCAATAGCACAGTGCACGCACTGAACGGGAGCGTCTGATTGGCTAGCGTTCTGGCAGCCCGGTAGTGAACTCGTAACACCTCCTGCTCGTTGGAGACGATTAACTTTTCCTGGAAAGAGAGAAGAGGGTGTTGAGTTAGCCAAGACATAAGGATGCTTTTGTTTTTGTAATAATTCATTAGGGACGAAAGGCAGAGTTGAGTTTAATAGTTGAGACTGAACAAAGCAGAGAAGGCAGCTAATAAGATAAAAGCTTGTATTTGTAACGTCAAACAGTTTTCAAAGTATATATAACAATGTTTATAAAATAAGTATGATCACGCTATAAAGGAAGATCGAATAGGACTGAGTTTAATTGCTCCACATACCCGTTCAATGCTGTGTTGCAAGCGCAGCTTCATACGAACAACCTCCTGTTGCTTAAACATCTCCTTCAGTTGGTCTGGCAGAGACGGAGGGGGAGTTATCTGTTACAGAGACAAATATATATAAAACGTTACAAACAGTTAGACAAGTTCAACATCATGAAACATCTGAAGATTGTTTAATAAGACCCTTTAATGCAGGAGTGTCTTGAATGGACGACATTAGCGATAAAGATAAACATTCAATGGAGACAGAGAGAGGAAAAGAGAGGACAGAGGAGATCGAAGAGAATACAGAGGAGATCATAAGGAGAGATTAGAGGACAGAGGAGAGAACGAGAATCCAGGAGATTCAACAATAGGACAGAGAGAACGAATATAGAAGAGGACATAGGAGATCGATATAGGACAGAGGAGATCGAATAAGACAGAGAGACAATAGAGGACAGAGGAGAACGAATAGAGGAGGATAAATAGACAGAGGAGACAATAGAGGACAGAGGAGACGATTCGAATAGAGGACAGATGAGAACAAGAATAGAGCAAGGAGAATGCTGAAATAGATGACAAGCGAGCGATTATACAGAATCGATGAACATGATCCTTAGTGAGACTGAAGACGGAGGGAGTTACGTAGAGACAAATATATATAAGACGACAACAGTTGACAAGTTCAAATCAGAAACATCGAATTGTTTACATAAGACCCAATAGCAGAGTCGAATGACGGACATAGCGATAAATAGTAAAACAATGGAGACAGAGGAGATCAAATAGGGGACAGAGGAGATCGAAGAGAGTACAGAGGAGATCAAATAGAGGACAGAGGAGATCGAAGAGAATACAGAGGAGATCAAATAGAGGACAGAGGAGATCGAAGAGAATACAGAGGAGATCAAATAGAGGACAGAGGAGATCGAAGAGACAGAGGAGATCAATAGAGGACAGAGGAATCGAAAGAATACAGAGAGATCAAATAGAGGACAGAGGAGATCAAATAGAGGACAGAGGAGATCAAATAGAGGACAGAGGAGATCAAATAGAGGACAGAGGAGAACAAATAGAGGACAGAGGATATCAAATAGAGGACAGAGGAGAACAATAGAGGACAGAGGAGAACGAATAGAGGACAGAGGAGATCAAATAGAGGACAGAGGAGATCAAATAGAGGACAGAGGAGATCGAATAGAGGACAGAGGAGATCAAATAGAGGACAGAGGAGAACGAATAGAGGACAGAGGAGAACGAATAGAGGACAGAGGAGAACGAATAGAGGACAGAGGAGAACGAATAGAGGACAGAGGAGAACGAATAGAGGACAGAGGAGATCGAATAGAGGACAGAGGAGATCAAATAGAGGACACAGGAGATCAATAATTATTATTATAGATTATATAATAGAGGACAGAGGAGTGGAGATGCAGTCTTAACCTCTGTGGGATCGGTGTCCCTTATATGGAGCGGTTGTTGCTCAATAGATATGTGACTAGAATGGTGTTGTAAACAATAGCCAACTGTCCAGGACATAGACATGTCTTATATGGGCAGAAAGCCTAAATTAGCTATTACAGTGAAAAAATACCATGCTATTGTTTGAGGAGAGTGCACAACAACAAAACACTTATCACAGCAAATTGTTTGGTACATTCACCTCTGAAGGTAAATAATGTACTTACATTCAGTAATCTTGCTCTGATTTGTCATCCTGAAGGTCCCAGAGATAAAATGTAGTGTAGTTTTGTTTGAAAAATACATTTTTATATTAAAATGTATACAGTTTGACCTCTGACTCCACACCCACCCCGCCCGGCCATCTAGATGTGTTAAGGTTAGTGTATTTTCTATAGGAAAGCCAATGATCCATCATTTATGACATTCCAGGGAGTGTGTGCAAACTTACAAAAATGCTATGGTAATACAAAATGTATGTTCTCTATAGTTATGTACTTGAAAACTAATTCGGCACATTTGGGAAAACTCCTGGCAAACTAAATTACATCTAGATTCCTACATCACAAAAAATCAAAAACATGTTTTTTGGTTTGTATTATCTTTTACCAGATCTAATGTTATATTCTCCTACATTAATTTCAAATTTCCACAAACTTCAAAGTGTTTCCTTTCAAATGATATCAAGAATATGCATATCCTTGCTTCAGGTCCTGAGCTACAGGCAGTTAGATTTGGGTATGTCATTTAAGGCGAAAATTGAAAAAAAGGGGTCAGATCCTTAAAAGGTTGTCAATAGAGCTTTTTAGTCAAGGAGCACCGAACCCTATAATGATCAAACTCCAGACTCACTGTTGGAATACAGAGGAAGGGAAGACAGATGGGGAGATGAACAGATGAACAGATCAGAGTGAAGATGAATAGATGAGAGTTGATGAACAGAACTCCAGACTCACTGTTGGAATACAGAGTTTGCCGAGCGGGTTCCCGTCCTAGCAGGTAAGATCCTGTAAACGTCACGTATTCGTCGTAATACTGTGGCGGCTGGGGGATGACGCTCAGCAGGCACTTTGCGCTTCTCCTCGATCTTCTTGCGGATGTGCAGGAACTCGTAGTAAGGGTTGGCCCTCTCTGTCTGGTACGGCTCAATCTCCTCCAGCTTCAGAGAGTCAACGATGGCCGCCAGAGACTGCTGAGGCGTCTCCTTCCCCTGAGCAAAGACGAGAAGAGACATATGGTAAGATAAAGTAGAGGAGACATATGGTAAGATAAGGTAGAGGAGACATATGGTAAGATAAGGCAGAGGAGACATACGGTGAGATTAGGCAGAGGAGACATACGGTAAGGTAAGGTAGAGGAGACATACGGTGAGAAGGTAGAGGAGACATACAGTAAGGTAAGGTAGAGGAGACATACGGTAAGATAAGGTAGAGGAGACATACGGTGAGATAAGGCAGAGGAGACATACGGTAAGGTAAGGTAGAGGAGACATACAGTAAGGTAAGGTAGAGGAGACATACGGTGAGAAGGTAGAGGAGACATACAGTAAGGTAAGGTAGAGGAGACATACGGTGAGATAAGGTAGAGGAGACATACGTTAAGATAAGGTAGAGGAGACATACGGTGAGATAAGGTAGAGGAGACATACAGTAAGATAAGGTAGAGGAGACATACGGTGAGATAAGGCAGAGGAGACATACGGTAAGGTAAGGTAGAGGAGACATACGGTGAGAAGGTAGAGGAGACATACAGTAAGGTAAGGTAGAGGAGACATACGGTGAGATAAGGCAGAGGAGACATACAGTAATAAGTAAGAACACGTGAGATAGGTAAGGAGACATACGTGAGATAAGGTAGAGGAGACATACGTGAGATAAGGTAGAGGAGACATACGGTGAGATAAGGTAGAGGAGACATACGGTGAGAAGGTAGAGGAGACATACGGTGAGAAGGTAGAGGAGACATACGGTAGATAAGGTAGAGGAGACATACGGTGAGATAAGGTAGAGGAGACATAGGTAGATAAGGTAGAGGAGACATACGGTGAGATAAGGTAGAGGAGACATAAGTAGATAAGGTAGAGGAGACATACGGTGAGATAAGGTAGAGGTAGAATACAGTGTAGATAAGGTAGAGGAACATATGGTAAGATAAGGTAGAGGAGACATATGGTAAGATAAGGCAGAGGAGACATACAGTAAGATAAGGTAGAGGAGACATACGGTGAGATAAGGTAGAGGAGACATACAGTAAGATAAGGTAGAGGAGACATACGGTGAGATAAGGTAGAGGAGACATACAGTAAGATAAGGTAGAGGAGACATACGGTGAGATAAGGTAGAGGAGACATACGGTGAGATAAGGTAGAGGAGACATACAGTAAGATAAGGTAGAGGAGACATACGGTGAGATAAGGTAGAGGAGACATACGGTGAGATAAGGTAGAGGAGACATACAGTAAGATAAGGCAAAGGAAACATACAGTAAGATAAGGTAGAGGAACTACTGGTCAGATAAGGCCGATAACATCCGTCCAGTACTAAGTATAAACATACGGCAGTAAAACTCATTCCTGAACATACCCATCCCTGATGCTTGAGATAAGGTAGAGGGAGACATACAGTAAGATAAGGTAGAGGTGACATACGATAAGGTAGAGGAACCTACCACTCCAGCATCCCTCCTTCACTAAACCTACCGCTCCAGTATCCCTCCTTCACTAAACCTACCGCTCCAGTATCCCTCCTTCACTAAACCTACCCTACTAAACCTCATTCCCTCTCAACCATACACCCATCCCTCTATTCCTTCCCTCCCTCCAACCTCTCCTTATCCTATCCTCCAGAGGAACCCACCTGTTGTGTGCTGCCTCTGGCCTGGTTTGAGGTAGACGTCCTGGGCATTTTCCTCTTCCTGGGGTGGGTCTGCTGGACGTCCTGGCCCTCCTCTATGGTTAGGGAGCGGACCTTGGCCTTAGCCCCGGAGGAGTCAGAGTCTCTGTCCCCTGACTGGGGCGAAGAGCTAGCAGAGACCCCACTGCTGCTGTAACTACCACCACTACCGCTCTGGTCTGTCTGAGAGCCCTGCTGGAAGTTACTACACTGTCCACAAGCACTCTGGGTCTGGTCTGATCCAGCAGTCAAGAGAGTCTGTCCTTCTGATCTCTCCTCGGAGATAGAAGCCACATCCATTGGCTCTGGGCATGGCTCTGATTTCACCTCTGGGACGGTGACCATATTGCTGCCCTCTGATGAAGACCAACAACTAACCCTTCCTGTTGACATGGCCTCAGGATCCCTGTTCTTCTCCAATGCGCAGTCGGGTGCATCAGAAGTTTCTTCTGATTTGTGTTCAGGGCTCGGGCAGCGCGACACGGTGGATGGTGTATGCTGGCTAGCATTATCGTTTTTGTCCGGCCGAGGATCACCGGAACCGACGTCTTCACCGGAGAATCTGGATTGCTTACAGTCCTGAATGCTTGCGTTAGTGTCCATGTCCTCTTGAGATTCATTGGGTCTACCAGCACTGTGCACAGACTCCTCTGTGCTAGCACTGGGTGGTGTGCGTGCGCTGGTGGACGCTACTTGGGTTGTCCATCCATACCTGTCTAGACGCTACTAACGCACTCTCAAGGCCCTCTACAGCTGCTCTGTTTTCAGCGCTGCTGGCTGCACTCTCAACTGGAGCTTTATCTTTAGGATCGAGAGCCAGAGATGGATCAGTCTCCGTCTGCATCTGCTGGGAGGTCACCATACTGGTCGTTTGGAAGGGTTTGCCATGACTGGCTAGCAGAGAGAGATGAGAACGGTGGTCGAGAGGAGAGAGATGACGACGCCACCGTGTCCTCAGAGGGCAGCTCCTTCCTACTACATTCAGGCTCCGCACTGGAGGTCTCTACAGGGATACACCGTACGTCCCGTATTAGGAGAGGGCCAGAGGTGGAAGAAGACCCTCTCTGTGCTGGTGTTGCTAGCTGTGGGACACCAGCCTGCTGAAGTGTTGAGGAGTCCTTTACGTGAGGGTCTCCGGTGTTGGACACTTGAGGTGGGAGATGGACACCTGGAGCGGTGTTCCCTTCACTCTCAGTGTTGAGATCCGCGTCTGTTCTTGGAGCGGAGTTCCCTTCACTCTCAGTGAAGAGATCTACATCTGTTCTTGGAGCGGAGTTCCCTTCACTCTCAGTGTTGAGCTCTAAATCTGTTCTTGGAGCGGAGTTCCCTTCACTCTCAGTGTTGAGATCTGCATCTGTTCTTGGAGTGGTGTTCCCTTCACTCTCAGTGTTGAGATCTGCATCGGCTCTTGCATTAGGGAAATTTGGAAGCATCTGAGTAGGACCCCTTTGACTCTGGCTCTCCTCTGGATCTGCACAGGTTTCTGAAAGAAGCTGAACACTTGAAGGCTCTTCACTGGGTTGAGCAGCTGGCACCACACTGGCCTTTGACAGAGTTTCAAAAGGTTTACCTGCCGTCGCAGAGTTTGCGTCCTCATCCAGAATAGCCATAAGGTAGGGGGAAGTGTGTCGGCTCTGCAGCGGAGTTCTGTTACCTTGCACCGAGTCTGGAAGACCGTTGTAGTCTTTGTCGTGAACGGAAGGCGATCTAGACCGTGAGAGGAGGGAACACTGGAGGAAAGGCGGCTGAGAGTCCTGGGAGGCTTCCAGGGTCATATCCGAGTCGTACTCTACGGGTCTCGGCGTCAGCATGGTTGCCTGACAGGAATCCTCAGAACTGGCCACAGAGAACATGGACACGGACCTGGACATGAGACCCGACCGCTCGCTCTCCGGCCTGGGGGACCTGCTCAAGCTGTTCTCCATACCAGGCATCAACTTCCCACTGAGGGATGAGAGTATCTTCCCGTCCAGGGACATGGTCCTGGAGCTGGTGCTCTCCTTCATGGGTTTGTCAAGGTCCCGGCCGTGAGCGTCGCCAGAGCTTTCGGAGCGAAGCAGCTCTTTGCTCGAACACTGTTCTCCAGAAGACAAGGACATCGTCTTGGCTTTGCTTTTGAGCTTCCCTGGGTCTGTCGTCGTAGAGGAGGGTCGTTGTTTCATCCTCTCCCTCTCCTTCTGTTTGATCTTTTCTAGATGCTTCCGGTGCCACTGTTCAATCTCCTGGTCCTTCAGACTCAGCATGCGTTCGAAGCTGGTCTGCCTCAGGTCCTCATTGACCAGACGTTTCTCTTTGGGCCGCTTCTCTTCCCGGGTGGCAGGCGAGGCTTTAGCTTTGGACCTGTTGTCTCGGTCAGTCTCGGTCTCGTTGGGTTTGGTCTTAGAGGCCTTGCTAACCTCCTTGGAACGGTCCTTGTCGCCCTTGAGACGCTCTTTGTCCTTGTCCCGATCTCTGTGCCGGTCAGAGTCTCTGGATTCTCTGTCTCGTCGGTCTCCGTCTTTCTCTGGGACTTCCTCCTTTAGTAGTTTTGCTTGTGTGGTCTTGCCACTTTCAGTCACGTAGCCTTTCTTCTCTTCCAATGGGAGCTTCAGGTTAGAGCTGGAGGAAAATGAGCCGTCTTTAGATTTTTCTCTTTTCTTCTTATCGCAGTCTTTGTCTTTGTCCTTTTCCGATTTACTGTGATCAGTGAATTTCTCTGAAGGTGGTTTTCCTTTGTTGTCACAGCCTATCCTGTCTCTGTTCTCTCCTCCGCTGTACTCCCTCTCCCTGCAGATCCTTTTATCTGGCTTCTCTTTGCTCTTCTTGTCCTTGCTCTCCTCGTGTTTTTTTGTGGACGAGGCTCTGAGCTTTTCGCTCTCTCTGTGGTTCTTGTCACCAGGGGACGAATGAGACGAGCCAGACGCCACCCTCTCCTTCTCCCTCCAGCGATCCATGGAATTCTGTGAATTCTCTGATTTCTCCAGGTGCTCCATCTTGACCTTCTTCTCCTTATCGGGATGCTTTTTATCAGTCTTTTCAGTCTCCCGTTCCTTTACAGAAGGCCTCCTGTCGGATTTGTCCCGCTGGTCTTTCTCAGAGGCATCCAGTTGGTCTAGATCAGCCGCAGACATGGTCCCCGTTACTGGTTTATCCTCCAGTTCATCTTTCACGCTTGCAGCGTTATGCTGTGTCTCGTCAGGAACAGAGGTAGTCCGTCCAGAGCTGGAGCTGAGGCACTCTGTCCTCTCCTCAAGCTCACTGGGCTTCCCATCCTTTCCTCCCTTCTCCTCTTTACAGACAGCAGAGGTTTCCTTCCTCTCTTTCATCACCACCTTGTCTTTATCCTTCTCTTGCTCCTCTCTCCTCGTCTCTTTGCTGCTAGAGAGGCGTTTTTCTTTCGTCCCTCTCTCTTCAGGAGAGCCGTTCGATGTCGAGGTCTTCTGAGGAGATCTGCCGTCCAATGTCGAGGTCTTCTGAGGAGATCTGCCGTCCAATGTCGAGGTCTTCTCTGGAGATCTGCCGTCCGATGTCGAGGTCTTCTCTGGAGATCTGCCGTCCGATGTCGAGGTCTTCTGAGGAGATCTGCCGTCCTCCCTCTCGGTCTCGCTCTCCATTTTCCCTGGAGGCAGAGGTTCGTCATCATTGAAGAAGTTCTCTTTCCAGAACTCCCTGTCGAACTCGAGGTTCCTGTGGCCGTCCTTCCTGCCTCCCTCCTTCTGCCGGTGGCGGTTCCTCTCCCTGTCCGCCTCATACTCCCCGATGTGGTTGTCCTTCTCCTTGTGTTTTAGTTTATGCTTTTTGACCACTTTGCCATCTTTGTCCGTCTTCTGTAAGGCACCACCCTCAGAGCTGTCCACACTGTTGGCAACGCTGCCTTCTTTATTATTCAGACTGGAGCCTCCATCCACCCCCCCACCACCAACACTACAGTCCACGGTGACGTCCTTCTGGTGGTGCTTGCTCTTCTCCTTGTGCTTGCAGCCCTTACTACTGGAGCTTTCCATGCAGAACTCGGACTCTGGGTTGTAGTGGTTGTACTTGACACCATCCGGCGGACAGGGGCCTTCGGCAATCGAGACGCACGTCATCTTGGCGTTCTCCTGTTTGAGCGGGTTAGAAGACGGCTGCTTGTCGGCCAGGCCGTAGTTGAGCTTGGGGGAGTTGACGGTGGCGGACAGGTGGAAGAGGTGGACGGACGAGTCGTCCTTGGGACTGAAGGAGATCTTGAACGAGTCCTCGTCCCCACAGAGTCCTCGGCTGTTCTTGTCCGTGTGTGTCTCCGACACCAGAGCTTTGCTGTTCTCCTTCCCGTCCTCCTGGTTCTCCTTGTTCTTGCTCTTGTTCTTCTTCTTGACTTTGCTGCTTTTGTCTTTCTGTTCGGAAAACGTGAGGCTGCCGACGTTCTCCTTCTTAGTCCTGCTGGCGTCTGACGCCTTGTGTCCCTCCGAGCCGTTGAGAGCAGGTCGGAGAGCTCCTTCTCTCTGTTGGCATCTCCATCTCATCACTGGAACTATCCGAGCTGCAATACAGGACGCGGGACGACGTCTTTGTCTTCTTAGACTTAGAGGACTGGACCGAGCCGCTCCCGTTCCCTTTACCGCTCTGCTTCGCCAAATGATTCCTCTCCTTCTCCTCTTTCTCCCTCTGCCTCAGCTCTCTCCGGAGGATGTGTCGGTCGTTCAGGGCTTTACTCAGGTCCTCCTCTTCCTCCTCGTCTTTGAACTCATACTCGTCCAGGCCAGACATGGAGGATGAGGCCTTCACGGTGCTCTGCTTTCCGTCAGAGTCCTTTTCCACGTCAGAGTCATCCAGGTTGTCGTCATCAACGTCCACACTGGAGGGGTTCACCGACAGAGGGCCTTCTGACTCTGTAGAGAGAACAGAGGAAAATAGAGGAATTAAAATCTTGTTTGATCGCCAGTGTTATTTTTTTATATCATACTGGCCCCCCGTGGGAATCGAACCCACAACCCTGGCGTTGCAAACGCCATGCTCTACCAACTGAGCTACATTCCCTGCCGGCCATTCCCTCCCCTACCGGGCCAATTGCCCCGCTGGGCCAATTGTGTGCCGCCCAATGGGTCTCCCGGTCGTGGCCGGCTACGACAGAGCCTGGATTCTAACCAGGATCTCTAGTGGCACAGCTACTCGGTTGAGGAACACAGAACGATTACAACCTTGTTTCTAATCAAGTTTGATTAAAAAGGTAAATGGCCATATGGGGAGATCTATAACACACACCTTTACTTTTGAAAATATATGATAAAAACACACCTCTACAGGACACCATCCCCCCTTGGAGCTATCCTCTACAGGACACCATCCCCCCTTGGAGCTATCCTCTACAGGACACCATCCCCCTTGGAGCTATCCTCTACAGGACACCATCCCCCTTTGGAGCTATCCTCTACAGGACACCATCCCCCTTTGGAGCTATCCTCTACAGGACACCATCCCCCTTTGGAGCTATCCTCTACAGGACACCATCCCCCTTTGGAGCTATCCTCTACAGGACACCATCCCCGAGGAGCTATCCTCTACAGGACACCATCCCCGAGGAGCTATCCTCTACAGGACACCATCCCCCTTGGAGCTATCCTCTACAGGACACCATCCCCGAGGAGCTATCCTCTACAGGACATCATCCCCGAGGAGCTATCCTCTACAGGACACCATCCCCGAGGAGCTATCCTCTACAGGACACCATCCCAGAGGAGCTATCCTCTACAGGACACCATCCCCGAGGAGCTATCCTCTACAGGACACCATACCTGGGGAGCTATCCTCTACAGGACACCATCCCCGAGGAGCTATCCTCTACAGGACACCATACCCGAGGAGCTATCCTCTACAGGACACCATACCTGAGGAGCTATCCTCTACAGGACACCATCCCCGAGGAGCTATCCTCTACAGGACACCATACCTGAGGAGCTATCCTCTACAGGACACCATCCCCGAGGAGCTATCCTCTACAGGACACCATCCCCGAGGAGCTATCCTCTACAGGACACCATACCTGAGGAGCTATCCTCTGCGTCTGAGAGGGGCACCTCTCCCTTTAGGAGAAGCTTCAGCTCCTGGGAATCAGCTACGTCTACGGGTCGCTCCCCTCGCCTGTTGGCCTGGAACGCATTCCCTCCATGTCTCAGCAGCAGCTTCACAATCTAGATGGAAGAGAACAGGACAAGTGGTCAGCGAACCCGTTAAGGTCCTGAACAAACACCTAAAGGGTGGAAACGCCTGACTTTAACAGAATTACAAAATAAGAAAACGCAGAAAATAACGTGTTGTATTATCATTACTACTGGGTCGATGGTTAGTTGACAGAATTAGTCAGTTCTCAACTTGAATCTTAAAAATCCAAGGTCCCCCGGTATATAGAGCGAGCGGGAGGGAGGGAGGGATGAGTAGCAGTAGCAAACGTACGTCTGTATGTCCACTACTGGAGGCATCGTGGAGCGGCGTGTCGTCATCCAGACCCTGGGTGTTGACTTCTGCGCCGGCCGCGATCAGAACCTTCGCCACGTCGTAGAAACCAAGGTTACACGCCTCGTGAAGGGGCGTCCAGCCTGACAAAGAAACAGGAGGTTGTATTTTATTTTACGGTAATGACAAATAGTTTTCCAAACTACACAGTACTAACCTAACCTACTTGATAAACCTAACCTACTTTGATTCATTGTTTCTATGGGATACATTTAAACAAGTACCACTGGGCAACATAACATTTAGTATAAACTGTGTTGAATCCTCAACACTTCTGCAAATCTCTGCACTATAGACCCTTATAGTTGTATCAAGGGTGGTCAGGTGTTCTTTTACCTGCAAAGTCTTTAATGTTGACGTCAGCCCCGAGGCTGATGAGCTCCTTGACATGCTCGGCGTCCCCTCGTATGGCCGCCATGTGTAGCGGCGTCTCGCCACGCTCGTTCCTCTTGTTCACCTTGTCCCTCGCTCTGGAGGCCGAGCTGCTGGGGGGCTTCTTCTGCACCGGGGGGGCCTGGGACGGGTGGCTGGGGGTCGAGTCTGAGGAGGAGAGGGAGAGAGAAAGAGTTGGACGAGAGATTAAGTAACACTCAACCAAACGAAATGACTCAACAGAGAAAAATAAATCTGTTGATGTTTCTGGTAACTGGGAGGTCCATTATCTTTAAAGCTGTTGTTTGGCATTATGACTCATCCTTATGATAACTATAGTAATAATCCACATCCCTAAAGGCTGATAAGAGGACAGGAGACGGTAAGAGAGAGGGAGAGAGGAGAGGAGACGGTAAGAGAGAGGGAGAGGAGACGGTAATAAGAGAGAGGGGAGGGAGGACGGTTGTAAGAGAGAGGGAGAGGGGACGGTTAGGTAAGAGGGAGAGGGAGGAGGAGACTGTAAGAGAGAGGGAGGAGGAGACGGTAAGAAGAGAGGGAGAGGAGACGGTTTAAGAGAGGAGCGGGAGAGGCGACGGTAAGGGGGGTAAGCGGAGGGAGGAGGGGGAAGACGGTTAAGAGGAGGGAGAGGAGACGGTAGGAGAGGGCGGGAGGAGGAGACGGTAAGAGAGGTAAGAGGAGAGGGAAGAGGGACGGTAACGGAGGAGAGGGAGAGGAGACGGTAAGTAAGAGAGGGGGAGAGGAGACGGTTAAGAGAGAGGGCGAGGAGACGGTTAAGAGAGAGGGGATGAGGGAGAGGGACGGTTAAGAGAGAGGGAGAGGAGACGGTTATAAAGGATAGAGGGAGAGGAGACGGTAAGTAAAGAGAGAGGGGAGAGGAACGTAAGAGAGGAGGGAGAGAGGAGACGGTAAGAGAGAGGAGGAGGGAGAGGAGACGGTAGAGAGAGGGAGAGAGGAGAGAGAGGAGCGGTAAGAGGGAGAGGAACGGTAAGAGAGAGAGGAGAGGAGACGGTAAAGAGGAGAGGACGAAGGAGACGGTAGAGAGAGAGGGACGGTAAGGAGAGGGAGAGGAGACGGTAGAGAGGAGAGGGACGGTAAGAGAGAGAGGGAGAGGAGACGGTAAGAGAGAGGGAGAGGAGACGGTAAGAGAGAGGGGAGAGGAGACGGTAAGAGAGAGGGGAGAGGAGACGGTAAGAGAGAGGGAGAGGAGAAGGTAAGAGAGAGGGAGAGGAGACGGTAAGAGAGAGGGAGAGGAGACGGTAAGAGAGAGGGAGAGGAGACGTGTAAGGAGAGAGGGGAGAGGAGACGGTAAGAGAGAGGGAGAGAGGGAGAGGAGACGGTAAGAGAGAGGGAGAGGAGACGGGGCATGAAAGTGTTTGACTAACCTGGGCTGTTGTCCCTGGCGGTCATCTGCATCAGTAGGGCCATCTGCTTGCGTTCAGACAGCGGGTAGCCAAACAGAAGATTGACCGGGACCTTCTTACTTCCCCCAGACTCCTTCTTGTTTTTCTTCTTATCCGGGCCGTCTTTATCTACAGACAGAGTTAGGACAGACAACAGGGTTAGACTTAGAAACCAGACAAATACACACATCTCTAAACCAGCAAGGTGTTCATCCCAAATTGCACCCTATTCCCAGCCTATATACTGCACCTGAGCCCTATGGAGCCTGGTCAAAAGTAGTGCACTATATACAGGGACAGTGCCATTTGGGATGCAGTCAAGATCATCATCATCATCATCATCATCATCATCATCATCATCAACAACAAATGTGATGCAATAAAGTGATGCAGGGGTCCCTCCCCTCCCCCTCCCCCTCCCCATCTTTTGCACCATATATCTCCATCACGCGCAAAAAAACTGTTAGCAGGGGGGGGGGGTAAAGACAATCACTCTCTGTAGCCAGCAAAGTGTTTAGCTCCTTGGAATCCCCTCTTCATCACTAATAACACGATCAAGCCAACAACATAAAGACATGCGTGAGGTGAGATAGCTAGCAAGCCATAGAGAGCAGGCAGGGAGGAGATGCAGCATGAGACAGGTGTGTGTGTTTACAGTGTAGCATAGCAGCGTGGGGGTAGACCTGACGTGATGTGACTGAGTAGCAGGACAGGGCTGATCCCGGACAAGACACACACACACACACACACACACACACACACACCACATGTGCACACAGCGTGTGTGTTTACAGCATAGCAGACACTGGGGGGGGGCTACATGACGTGCTGAAGTCACTACGTGGAGACAAGACACCCACATACACTCCAACGCGCGTCTAGAGGACCCAGGCTGCACCCACATACACTCCGACGCGCGTCTAGAGGACCCGGGCTGCAGTACAGTTACCTGCTGAGAACATCCTGCAGGGAGTCACTAACCTCCCCTCACACTCTCCCCAGGACTCAGTGGACTGCTCTGGGTCTGACTCATCTAATGGGCAAAGCAGAGACACGGGGAGGGAGGGGAGATTAGGAGAGGTGAGAGGGAGGGGAGAGAAGAGGTGAGAGGGGGAGGGGAGAGAAGAGGTGAGAGGGGGAGGGGAGAGAAGAGGTGAGGGGGAGGGGAGAGGAGAGGTGAGAGGGGAGGTGAGAGAAGAGGGGAGAGGGGGACAGGAGGAGGGACAGGAGGAGGAGGAGGAGGAGGGGGGGGGACAGGAGGAGGAGGAGGAGGAGGAGGAGGAGGAGGAGGGACAGGAGGAGGAGGAGGAGGAGGGAAGCACAGCATTAAGGCACGGAGAGCTTTCACACACACACACACACAAGTTACGCACACAGATTATCAGCCATGAGTCATCAGGGCTGTGGCGGTCATGAAACATTGTCAGCCAGTTATTGTCCACACGCTGATGTACGCCTTTGGAACATCACATTTTTAAAAGTCTAGTAAATCCATTTAATATACACCATCACAATAAATCCATTATTTTAGGCAGGCCTAAAGAAATATTATGATATGAAGAAAATGTTTTTTCAGAAGAACAGAATATGAGTTGGCCTACTGTATGTTATCTGGCTGTGCTCCGTGCCATAGGCTGGAGGCTTGTTCATTTAGCTGACAATATACGCTTATACGTCCCAAGCCATTATTTGATATGATTTTATTATAATAATAATTTAAAATAGAAATGAATATTTTTCCCATTCTGGAGCGAGTGTGCGTATGAAGTGGCTATGTTGAGCATAAAAGTGATCATTAGAAACAGGTCCTATATGCTAGACTTAGTTACTTTTAGTTTAGTTGTGAATGATACAAACCTTAGAATTTCTTAGAAATCAAAACATATACGGGCTGCATGATGCGACGACAGGTTATTGATGATTTGAGAAAGCCGCAAAAAAATAAAATAATAAAAAACTTGTTCTCTCATCAAGCGATCATATCAAATCATGCCGGGTAGACTACTCCGGTTTTATAGCAACCATCAAAAATCTGCTAAACCAATTATGGACCAAAGACATCTTAAAATCAGTTGGGTTTTATGTTTTTCTGCCACGAGTAATATGCAGTAGACTATGGTAGGGGGTAGGGCACAATGGCAGAGGGGCAAGGCGAGGGAAAAAGGAAGAAAGAAGAGGAGGGAGAGAGAGAGAGAGAGAGAGGGAGAGAGAGAGAGAGAGAGAGAGGGAGACAGACAGACACAGACAGACAGACATACAGACAGACAGACCAGGATCCGGCCACACACACACACACACACACACACACACACACACACACTACAACACCACACACACACACACACCACACACACCACACAACCACACACACACACACCACCACACACACACACCCCACACACACACCACACACACACACACACACCACACACACACAACACACACCACACAGCACACACAACACCACACAACACACACACACACAACACACACACACACACACACACCACACCATCACAACACGACACACACAACCACACATCACACACACACACACACACACACACACACACACACACACACACACATACACATATATAGTACAACATATATATTATACATAACATGGGAACCCTTAAACAACATATCCTAGAATTGAATGAATGAAATAATCTTATTAAATACTTTTTTCTTTACATAGTGAATGTGGCTGACAACAAAATCACAAAAATTATCAATGGAAATTCAAATTTATCAACCCATGGAGGTCTGGATTGGAGTCAACCTCAAAATTAAAAGTGGAAAAACCACACTACAGGCTGATCCAAACTATGATGTAATGTCCTTAAAAACAAGTCAAAATGAGGCTCAGTAGTGTGTGTGGCCTCAACGTGCCTGTATGACCTCCCTACAAACGCCTGGGCATGCTCCTGATGAGGTGGCGGATGGTCTCCTGAGGGATCTCCTCCCAGACCTGGATTAAAGCATCCGCCCAACTCACTGGACAGTCTGTGGTGCAACGTGGCGTTGGTGGATGGAGCGAGACATGATGTCCCAGATGTGCTCAATTGGATTCAGGTCTGGGGAACGGGCGGGCCAGTCCATAGCATCAATGCCTTCCTCTTGCAGGAACTGCTGACACACTCCAGCCACATGAGGTCTAGCATTGTCTTGCTTTAGGAGGAACCAAGGGCCAACCGCACCAGCATATGGTCTCACAAGGGGTCTGAGGATCTCATCTCGGTACCTAATGGCAGTCAGGCTACCTCTGGTGAGCACATGGAGGGCTGTGCGGCCCCCCAAAGAAATGCCACCCCACACCTGACCCACCGCTAAACCGGTCATGCTGGAGGATGTTGCAGGCAGCAGAAGGTTCTCCATGGCGGCTCCAGACTCTGTCACGTCTGTCACATGTGCTCAGTGTGAACCTGCTTTCATCTGTGAAGAGCACTGGGCGCCAGTGGCGAATTTGCCAATCTTGGTGTTCTCTGGCAAATGCCAAACGTCCTGCACGGTGTTGGGCTGTAAGCACAACCCCCACCTGTGGACGTCGGGCCCTCATACCACCCTCATGGAGTCTGTTTCTGACCGTTTGAGCAGACATGCACATTTGTGGCCTGCTGGAGGTCATTTTGCAGGGCTCTGGCAGTGCTCCCCCTGCTCCTCCTTGCACAAAGGCGGAGGTAGCGGTCCTGCTGCTGGGTTGTTGCCCTCCTACGGCCTCCTCCACGTCTCCTGATGTACTGGCCTGTCTCCTGGTAGCGCCTCCATGCTCTGGACACTACGCTGACAGACACAGCAAACCTTCTTGCCACAGCTCGCATTGATGTGCCATCCTGGATGAGCTGTACTACCTGAGCCACTTGTGTGGGTTGTAGACTCCGTCTCATGCTACCACTAGAGTGAAAGCACCGCCAGCATTCAAAAGTGACCAAAACATCAGCCAGGAAGCATAGGAACTGAGAAGTGGTCTGTGGTCACCACCTGCAGAACCATTCCGTTATTGGGGGTGTCTGGCTAATTGCCTATAATTTCCACCTGTTGTCTATTCCATTTGCACAACAGCATGTGAAATGTATTGTCAATCAGTGTTGCTTCCTAAGTGGACAGTTTGATTTCACAGATGTGTGATTGACTTGGAGTTACATTGTGTTGTTTAAGTGTTCCCTTTATTTTTTTTGAGCATTGTATATAAATAAATAAATAAATAAATAAATAAATAAATAAAGGCTTGGGCTCATATATATATATATATATGCCTATGCAATGGCTCTAACATGCGTGTTTTGAATTAATCATCGCCTTAGAAACCTCTCAATTTCTTTGTGTTTAGCTTTGAAACAACGACCATGTTTTTCACTCAGTTTCAATCTGTTGTTGAACTTCTTTCTTCAAATTGATCAATCACAGTGAAGTGAGTTTTAAAAAGCATGATACTGTTATGATAATTATGATGTAATTTTCAATTGCACTGATGTCAGAGAGGTGAGGGGGACAATAGAGCTTAGTACCAAGCCATTAGCGGCCCGGCGGTCGTTAGTCCAGAGTGCATAAGAGGGGAGATTACTGTGACTCTACGGTCACGTGGAATTTGACTGGCTTCATGACCCGTGACCGCCGGTGGGGCGGTAATACGGTCACCGTAACAGCCCCAGTACCAGCTATATACACACGGGGTAGGCTGCTACATGGAGCCAGGGAAGGTCCAGAGTGGTGTGGGTTGGGGTAGGCTGGTACATGGAGCCAGGGAAGGTCCAGAGTGGTGTGGGTTGGGGTAGCCTGGTACATGGAGCCAGGGAAGATCAGAGTGGTGTGGGTTGGGTAGCCTGGTCTGGAGCCAGGGAAGATCCGAGTGGTGTGGGTGGGGTAGGCTGTACATGGAGCCAGGGAAGATCCAAGTGGGTTGGGTTGGTGGTAGGCTGGACATGGAGCCAGGAAGGTCCAGAGTGGTGTGGGTTGGGTAGCCTGGTACATGGAGCCAGGGAGATCCAGAGTGGTGTGGGTGGGGTAGGTGGTACATGGAGCCAGGAAGATCCAGAGTGGTGTGGGTTGGGGTAGACTGGACATGGAGCAGGGAGGTCCAGAGTGGTGTGGGTTGGGGTAGGCTGGACATGGAGCCAGGGAAGATCCAGAGTGGGTGGGTTGGGGTAGGCTGGTAATGGAGCCAGGGAAGGTCCAGCAGTGGTGTGGTGTTGGGGTAGGCTGGACATGGCGCCAGGGAAGTCCAGAGTTTGGGTTGGGGTAGGCTGGTCACATGGAGCCAGGGAAGATCCAGAGTGTGTGGGTTGGGGTAGGCTCTCATGGAGCCAGGGAAGGTCCAGATGTGGGTTGGGGTAGGCTGGATACATGGAGCCAGGAAGGTCCAGGTGGGTGGGTTGGGGTAGGCTGCAACATGGAGCCAGGGAAGATTCCAGAGTGGTGTGGGTTGGGTAGGCTGGTACATGGAGCCAGGGAAGTCCAGAGTGTGTGGTTTGGGGTAGGCTGGTACAGGAGCAGGGAAGATCCAGAGTGGTGTGGTTGGGGTAGGCTGTACATGGAGCCAGGGAAGATCCAGAGTGGTATGGGTTGGGGTAGGCTGGTACATTGAGCATGGAAGATCCAGAGTGGTTGTGGGTTGGGATAGGCTGGTACATGGAGCCAGGGAAGGTCCAGAGTTGGGTGTGGTTGGGTATAGGCTCCGTAATGGAGCCATGGAAGCATCCAGAGTGGTGTGGGTTGGGGGTAGGCTGGTACATGGGCCAGGGAAGGTCCCAGAGTGTGTGGGGTTGGGGTAGGCTGGTACATGGAGCCTAGGGAAGGTCCAGAGTGGTGTGGGTTGGCGGTAGGTCTGGTACATGGCCGCCAGGGAAGGTCCAGAGTGGTGTGGGTTGGGGTAGGCTTGGTACATGGGAGCCAGGGAAGATCCAGAGTGGTGTGGGTTGGGGTAGGCTGCTTCCATGGGAGCCAGGGAAGGTCCAGAGTGGTGTGGGTTGGGGTAGGGCTGGTACATGGAGCCAGGGAAGATCCAGAGTGGTGTGGGGTTGGGGTAGGCTGGTAACATGGAGCCAGGGAAGGTCCAGAGTGGTTGTGGGTTGGGGTAGGCTGGTACATGGAGCCAGGGAAGGTCCAGAGTGGTGTGGGTTGGGGTAGGCTGGTACATGGAGCCAGGGAAGATCCAGAGTGGTGTGGGTTGGGGTAGGCTGGTACATGGAGCCAGGGAAGGTCCAGAGTGGTGTGGGTTGGGGTAGGCTGGTACATGGAGCAGGGAAGGTCCAGAGTGGTGTGGGTTGGGGTAGCTGGTACATGGAGCCAGGGAAGGTCCAGAGTGGTGTGGGTTGGGGTAGGCTGGTACATGGAGCCAGGGAAGATCCAGAGTGGTGTGGGTTGGGGTAGGCTGGTACATGGAGCCAGGGAAGATCCAGAGTGGTGTGGGTTGGGGTAGGCTGGTACATGGAGCCAGGGAAGATCCAGAGTGGTGTGGGTTGGGGTAGGCTGGTACATGGAGCCAGGGAAGGTCCAGAGTGGTGTGGGTTGGGGTAGGCTGGTACATGGAGCCAGGGAAGATCCAGAGTGGTGTGGGTTGGGGTAGGCTGGTACATGGAGCCAGGGAAGATCCAGAGTGGTGTGGGTTGGGGTAGGCTGGTACATGGAGCCAGGGAAGGTCCAGAGTTGGTGTGGGTTGGGGTAGGCTGGTACATGGAGCCAGGGAAGGTCCAGAGTGGTGTGGGTTGGGGTAGGCTGGTACATGGAGCCAGGGAAGATCCAGAGTGGTGTGGGTTGGGGTAGGCTGATACATGGAGCCAGGGAAGGTCCAGAGTGGTGTGGGTTGGGGTAGGCCTGGTACATGGAGCCAGGGAAGGTCCAGAGTGGGTGGTGTGGGTTGGGGTAGGCTGGTACATGGAGCCAGGGAAGGTCCAGAGTGGTGTGGGTTGGGGTAGGCTGGTACATGGAGCCAGGGAAGGTCCAGAGTGGTGTGGGTTGGGGTAGGCTGGTTACATGGAGCCAGGGAAGGTCCAGAGTGGTGTGGGTTGGGGTAGGCTGGTACATGGAGCCAGGGAAGGTCCAGAGTGGTGTGGGTTGGGGTAGGCTGGTACATGGAGCCAGGGAAGGTCCAGAGTGGTGTGGGTTGGGGTAGGCTGGTACATGGAGCCAGGGAAGGTCCAGAGTGGTGTGGGTTGGGGTAGGCTGGTACATGGAGCCAGGGAAGATCCAGAGTGGTGTGGGTTGGGGTAGGCTGGTACATGGAGCCAGGGAAGGTCCAGAGTGGTGTGGGTTGGGGTAGGCTGGTACATGGAGCCAGGGAAGGTCCAGAGTGGTGTGGGTTGGGGTAGGCTGGTACATGGAGCCAGGGAAGGTCCAGAGTGGTGTGGGTTGGGGTAGGCTGGTACATGGAGCCAGGGAAGGTCCAGAGTGGTGTGGGTTGGGGTAGGCTGGTACATGGAGCCAGGGAAGGTCCAGAGTGGTGTGGGTTGGGGTAGGCTGGTACATGGAGCCAGGGAAGATCCAGAGTGGTGTGGGTTGGGGTAGGCTGGTACATGGAGCCAGGGAAGGTCCAGAGTGGTGTGGGTTGGGGTAGGCTGGTACATGGAGCCAGGGAAGGTCCAGAGTGGTGTGGGTTGGGGTAGGTTTGGTACATGGAGCCAGGGAAGATCCAGAGTGGTGTGGGTTGGGGTAGGCTGGTACATGGAGCCAGGGAAGGTCCAGAGTGGTGTGGGTTGGGGTAGGCTGGTACATGGAGCCAGGGAAGGTCCAGAGTGGTGTGGGTTGGGGTAGGCTGGTACATGGAGCCAGGGAAGGTCCAGAGTGGTGTGGGTTGGGGTAGGCTGGTACATGGAGCCAGGGAAGGTCCAGAGTGGTGTGGGTTGGGGTAGGCTGGTACATGGAGCCAGGGAAGGTCCAGAGTGGTGTGGGTTGGGGTAGGCTGGTACATGGAGCCAGGGAAGGTCCAGAGTGGTGTGGGTTGGGGTAGGCTGGTACATGGAGCCAGGGAAGGTCCAGAGTGGTGTGGGTTGGGGTAGCCTGGTACATGGAGCCAGGGAAGGTCCAGAGTGGTGTGGGTTGGGGTAGGCTGGTACATGGAGCCAGGGAAGGTCCAGAGTGGTGTGGGTTGGGGTAGGCTGGTACATGGAGCCAGGGAAGGTCCAGAGTGGTGTGGGTTGGGGTAGGCTGGTACATGGAGCCAGGGAAGGTCCAGAGTGGTGTGGGTTGGGGTAGCCTGGTACATGGAGCCAGGGAAGGTCCAGAGTGGTGTGGGTTGGGGTAGGCTGGTACATGGAGCCAGGGAAGGTCCAGAGTGGTGTGGGTTGGGGTAGGCTGGTACATGGAGCCAGGGAAGATCCAGAGTGGTGTGGGTTGGGGTAGGCTGGTACATGGAGCCAGGGAAGATCCAGAGTGGTGTGGGTTGGGGTAGGCTGGTACATGGAGCCAGGGAAGGTCCAGAGTGGTGTGGGTTGGGGTAGTTTGGTACATGGAGCCAGGGAAGGTCCAGAGTGGTGTGGGTTGGGGTAGGCTGGTACATGGAGCCAGGGAAGATCCAGAGTGGTGTGGGTTGGGGTAGGCTGGTACATGGAGCCAGGGAAGGTCCAGAGTCGTGTGGGTTGTTGCTCCCCAAAATAACACGACTAGCAAAGCAGCCTGTTCAATTCAAACGCTCCCATGTTAGCTAGAGGTAGAATAACATAACTAGCAAAGCAGCCTGGGCCCGGTTTACCCATAGAACTTAAGGCTTAGGAGTAGGGATGGAGCAGCAGGTAGCCTAGCGGTTAAGAGCGCTGGGCCAGTAACAAAAGGTTGATGGTTCAAATCCCAGAGCAGACTAGGTGAAAAATATGTTGACGTGCCCTTGAGCAAGGCACTTAACCCTGATTGCTACTGTAAGTCACTCTGGATAAGAGCGTCTGCTAAATGACTAAAATGGATGGGCATGAGTAATAGAGTACTTGAACGGACGTCAAAGCGCAATCTTTAACCTGAGATCTATTTTTTTATTTTTTTATACTGTAAAACTATTTGGTGGGAATGTGCTTTGTGGCTGCCCGAACGGGCAAGTGACATTTTGTCTTCAAGACAACGTTTATTTGCTTTGACTCTAGTGTTCCATTTGTACATGTGCATTTGCTGGGTACAACAAAAAGAAACCAATCCAAGCATCACACAGTTCTTCTCCCTAAATGTCCTTTACCCTCCTCTTCTCATTCACTCCATTGTGTTCTGACCGCTCCCTCCACACCCGTACTGAGCGCGCACACAAGCTCCCGTCAGGCCTAAACAAATACATTCCTTTAAAAACACATCTAACTGATGGGATACACAAGCTGCATTCCTTGCCAAATGACGACAGTTTTACCACAAATTCAAAATGGACTGGTTGATCGAAGTAGGAAAATATGTGTTCAAACAACGAGCTGCAGTTTGGGAATAATTGCATCCCATCTATTTTCTGCTTAGGCTACTTTCCAAAGTGCTAGTGCCATTTACACTGAACAAAAATATAAACGCAACGGAAAATGTAGGTCCCATGTTTCATGAGCTGAAATAAAATATCCCAGAAATGTTCCATACGCACAAAAGCAAATTTCTCTCAAATGTTGTGCACAAATTTGTTTACATCCCTGTTAGTGAGCATTTCTCATTTGCCAAGATAATCCATCCACCTGACAGGTGTGCCATATCAAGAAGCTGATTAAACAGCATGATCATTACACAGGTGCACCTTGTGCTGGGGACAATAAAAAGCTACTCTAAAATGTGCAGTTTTGTCACACAACACAATGCCACAGATGTATCAAGTTTTGAGTGAGTGTGCAATTGGTATGCTGACTGCAGGAATGTCCACCAGAGCTGTTGCCAGAGAATTGAATGTTTATTTCTCTCCCATAAGCCACCTCCATTGTTTTAGAGAATTTGGCAGTACCTCCAACCGGCCTCACAACCGCAGACCACACCAGCCCAGGACCTCCACATCCGGCTTCTTTACCTGCGGGATTGTCTTGAGACCAGCCCCCCTGATGAAACTGTGGGTTTGCACAACCGAATAATTTCTGCACAAACTGACATAAACCGTCTCAGGGAAGCTCATCTGCGTGCTCATCGTCCTCACCAGGGTCTTGACCTGATTGCAGTTCGGCGTCGTAACTGACTTTAGTGGCCAAATGCTCACCTTCGATGGCCACTGGCACGCTGGAGAAGTGTGCTCTTCATGGATGAATCCCGGTTTAACTGTACCGGGCAGATGGCAGACAGCGTGCATGGCGTCGTGTGGACGAGCGGTTTGCTGATGTCAACGTTGTGAGCAGAGTGCCCCATGGTGGCGGTGGGGATATGGTATGGGCAGGCATAAGGTACGGACAACGAACACAATTACATTTTATCGATGCCAATTTGAATGCACAGAGATACCGTGACGAGATCCTGAGGCCCATTGTTGTGCCGATTTCCTTATATGAACTGTAACTCAGTAAAATCTTGCTTGGGGCAAATGGTGGTAGGCTTAGGCGGTATACCGGGGTATTTCGAAATAGCCATGGGATGGTTTTGTCAATACTGTTTAAAACTTTTTATTTTAAGTTTTTCAATCTTAATATTTGTAAATACCTGCAGTCAACTGGCGCAATACCTTAGGAGATAAAGCAGGTTGCGTTGTTCATTTCACCTGTCACGTTATTTTACATTATGAAGCTTACCGTAGGATTTTACCAGAGAAAAGTAGGCTGGCTAAACCGAGCAAAGTACCCGGAGCAAAGTAGCTCCACATAGAGAGAGCTGTCTGCTGATAAAATGACCATTCGAGAATTCTCGTCTGAGTGGAGAAGCGCAACAAGCACAAAAATTAGTCTGTTGCCGAGCAGAAATTATAATAAGAAGCATTTTATGTGATATTTCTTTTTGTTTTATCTATTTATTTATTTTTCCTGCGTGGAAATCGTAGAATTCTGTGTGAACGCGACCCCTAAGTTTTAACTTGCTAGTTATCTAAAGTAAGTGGCTGAATTAATAACGAAATCGGGTTATCATATATTGTTAGCTTTCTGCCGTGTTTGAGAAGGCAAAGCCCTTTGGATGAGTTCGGAAAGTATTCAGACCCCGTGACTTTTTACACATTTTGTTCCATTACAGCCTTATTCTGCATGCTGATGAATGAGAATTCACTCCTAAAGTGCAACTGAAACACAACATTGGCCTGATGCCGAGCAGAAATGTCAATAAGAAGCATTTTACATCTGAATTTACAAAAAAAACGCAGCAAGATATTTATTATGCTTTTTATATTTTCTTCCTGCGTGAAAAAGCAGAATTCTGCTTTAACTCAACCCCTAAATTTAACTTGCTTGTTAATCTAAGTGGCTGAATTAATAACGTGACGGGACATCATATTGCGTTAGCTTTCTGCCGTGTTTGAGAAGTCAAAGCCCTTTAGATGAGTTATTTGTACAGCCATCTTGATTTCCTTGCATTTTTTCCCCCCCCTCTCCATCCCTCCATTACGGTTCTTCCTTCAGACAAGCATGCGTCAAAACTTTGTTCATTTGCACAAAGTCTCTCGTTCATATTCGCTTGTAACCAAACTCACAAAAAATGACATTCGGTAGCTCCTACAGTCCTGTGAAAAAAGTATTTTCTAATTTTCTCAACTTTCGCATATTTCTGCAACTGAATGGCATCAGATCTTCAACCAAACCCTAATATTAGATAAAGGGAACTTGAGTGAACAAATAACAACATTTACATACTTATTTCATAAACAGAGTTATGTAACACCCAATTCCCCTGTGTGAAAAAGTAACTGCCCCCTTACACTCAATAACTGGTTGTGCCACCTTTAGCTGCAATGACTCCAACCAAATGCTTCCTGTAGTTGTTGATCAGTCTCTCACGTCGCTGTGGAGGAATTTTGGCTCACTCTTCCATGCAGAACTGCTTTAACTCAGCGACATTTGTGGGTTTTCAAGCATGAACTGCTCGTTTCAAGTCCTGCCACAACATCTCAATTGGGATTAGGTCTGGACTTTGACTAGGCCATTCCAACACTTCAAATGTGTTGCTTTTTAGCCATTTTTCATGTAGACTTGATTGTGTGTTTTGGATCATTGTCTTGCTGCGTGACCCAGCTGCGCTTCACACGGCCTGACTAAAGCCTATGCAATCGAATGGCGAATGGGAGGCGCACTTTAATTGAGCTTGATTTTAGATGTTTTGAGATCAAAGCGAGAGCTGCATGTAGCCAAGTGTGCACATTTTGTTCATATCCTTTGCTAGTTAGTGAGTTATTAGCCCAGTTATAGATCATTTATAGTCAGCAATAGGGGAGTGATTGCTTCCTACAAGAGCACAAAATGTGTACATTTCTAGACATCTTTGAAAAGCCAGTCAGGTAAAGAGCTTTTTTTTCGTCTTAAAGGGGCAGTGTTGTATTTTGAGACAGGCTTGAATAAGCTAAGTAGCCAATAGGCTGAGGGCAGCATAATTTGTCTGATTCTCTGTAATAATGGTATAGGAATAATAATGTATTTCATTTCTTGCAACAAACAACCTTTTCAGTCACCTCCTTGTCTGACGGACAGGTGGATACAGGTTAAATGTCAAGCCCTACATTTTATTTCTCCAAAAGGTCCCATGTCATGTAGGCCTAGATTGAACACCACACATTGGCTGCTACTGTAGGCTGAATGATAGAACAGCTATTTCCCCATGTTAAAATGTTATGGGATGCATTTTCTCCATTGTTTTTTTTTTAATGGTAGGCCACTCTGGTAGCTCAGTTGGTAGAGCATGGCGCTTGCAACGCCAGGGTATGTGGGTTCGATTCCCACGGGGGGGCAGTATGAACATTTATGCACTCACTAAGTCGCTCTGGATAAGAGCTTCTGCTAAATGACTAAAATGTAAACATGTAAAATGGTAGGCCTACATTATGATCAAATAGCCACAGGAGCCTACTGGGCCACTGTTAAAACTTTAAGTGGGTCCAGCCTCAGTGTTCACAGTAAACACGTGTACTGGGAGTTACACAGAATATTCACAACTTACAAGTTTGCGCTCAGCAGACCTGAAATTTGCTCAGTGCCAAGAAAAATTTTGCTAGAAACAAGAAAAGGACGGAAGTAGTGTTTTCTCACGACAACTGTTATTCAAAACCACAAACCCTAACTCTTGCATCTTATTTAGGGGTGTTCGATACGGTTTCCCCCAGTTGCCTTATTTAGTTATTTATTCTGGCCGTTGACATTGCCACTCTTTTCTCTCACAGTAAAACGCATGGATGTTCAAGTTTGTGCTCAGCAGACCTGAAATTTGCTCAGTGCCAAAAAATATTTGAAGGAACACAGGCGGCAATTTAATTCCACTAAGTTATGCAAATTAACCTATCGACTGATAATGACCTTCAAATGTATTTTCTGTGACTAACCGATTAACATCCCTAGCCTGTAGCCTACTGTTTATATTTTAAATGCAGTCATCTCGGTTTTCATTTGAAGCATGTTTTTATAGGTCACTTGTTTGTATCAATTGCAAAGACAT